CCTCATTAAGTGCATGTTTATTTTGCTCATTTTATTTCTGATAAGAATAACATTAAAAACATGAACATACAAATGTGAACAGCCTTAAATACACTACTGCTTGAAACTTTTTAAATTTGTATACCATGGAATTTTTATTTAAAACTTTTAAAACTCATCCGCCATTACAAGCAGGAAAAAAATCGAGTAAGGGGTCTCTGCMTTAGGTTTTGTCCTGTGGGCAGAGACGGCCCTACTCGTGATTTGCAGAGATTTTGATGTGGGCGGAGATGGCCCAAGAGACGTGATTGGTTGGATTGGAGGTGGGGTATGAGGCTGGAGGCAGCGGGGAGTAGCTTGGTCAAGTCAGGCAGGAAGTAACTTTTTTTTAGATTAATTTTAGTCATAACTTGAGAAAGGAAAGTGCTAGCTTCACAAAATGTGAAAGTCTTACATGTGAAAAGATGTGTAACAATATGGCTTGGTTAAAACACCCCTAACCAGCCTGTAAAAAAAAATGATTTTAGCTATCTTTTTTACAGGCTGGTTAGGGGTGTTTTAACCAAGCCATATTGTTATACATCCTTTCACATGTACGACGTTCAAATTTCGTAAAGCTAGCACTTTCCTTTCTCAAGTTATGACTAAAATTAATCTAAAAAAAGTTACTTCCTGCCCGACTCGACCAAGCTACTCCCCACTGCCTCCAGCCTCCTCAAACCCCACCGTCAATCCGACCAATCACATCTCTTGGGCCATCTTCACCCACATCAAGACCTCCACCAATCATGAGCAGGGACGTCTTTGCGCACATCAAGACCTCCGCCAACAACAATTTGGGACGTCTCTGCCCACAGGACATGCTCTGCAGAGACCCCTATTTGGAAAAATCTCCAGTCGGCCCGCAATGCGTTATGGGATAGAGTGGGCCAAGAAGGATCCAAATACGTCCTTCAGAGGACACAGACCCTGAATGTGGACACAGCCTGTGTGTGTCTCTTTGTGGCCTTGTGATGGACTCTGGATCTGTTCATGGAGTACCCTGCCATTTGCACAATGACCCTGCAGGATCAGCTCCACCACAACCCTACACGGACAAGTGGGTAAAGAAAATGGATAGTAAGAAATAACTAAATATGGACATTAGGCTTTTGCAAATCTTCAACATGCTCACAAATCAATATAACATAGCCAAGGACAGAGGAAAATCCCCACAGCCTAATGTRTCTTTCATTTTTGCCATGAAATTGCCAATGTAGGCAATGGCCATGACTGCTCCATCTGTTATGCACAAATCTCCTTTGATTCTACAAAGGTTGTATCCTAACTTTAACCAGCTTTAAGCRTAAAATCACATTTATCGGATTATTGCACGGATCTGGCCAAAAAGGTTTCATGGCTGTCAAACATTCAGCTGCTATTTGTGAAGAGTTAAGTCTGAACACTGGTACCAAAAGGACAGAGCTGCGAGGTTTTAATTGAGTTAGAAAGTTAGACGCCTCGTGTGGAGAGACAGGCAGGTGAGTGAGCAGAGAGACAGGCAGCAATCACACGGCACAAACACGGCAGAGGTCAACGCTATCACGGAAACGAACGGTTATTTCGTAGCATTTCATCATCATCATCTATCTCGGTCGCCTGTGCTCTCTCCCTCTTTCATGGCAGGATTTCTCATTGATGACAAAGTCATTTATGTTTTTCCTTCACCCCCCCCCCCCCCACTTTTCTCGCACCACCCATCCCTTGTGGTTTCTCCCTTTATCCTCTTTGCTATTTATGTTTCCTCTGTTTTATTTCTCTGTTTTCTYTCGTGCACTTTCTCCCGTCTCTCATTCTCAATTTGCATCTCTTTTTGCCAGTCTTTTTGTCTTCCACCGCCTTGCTCAGGCTTACATCTCTGCTATTTTTACTGCTCTCACCTCGTCTACATCGCTCCTCGTCCTCCTCCCCTCTTCATCTCTTACATCATATTTCCTCTAAACACCTCAGCCCCTCCCCTCCTCCTGTTTATTCCCATTACGTCTTTCCCTTTTCTGTGCTTTAGATTCTCTGCATTAGCTTCCTTACGTTCCATTTTTCATCCAATGCATTGCTTCTGTGCTTGTTTCTTCATTTCCTTCCTCCAGCTCGTGTCCCATTTCATTTACATTTACGTTCTGTCCATTTCATATCCTTTCACTTTCCCTTCATTTTCTACCCCACCTTTTCTGTATTTTCTTCCTGTCCAATCTGCTCCTGCGTTCTGCATCCCATATTCTCTGTTCAATTTTTTTTTGTTGCTACAACTTTTCATCCTCCGGTTTGACATCCTCCTTCCTGCACTGATTTCTAACCACCGTCTTCGGTTGCTTTTTTCCTTTTCATCACTACCAGTCCATTTTTATTATTTGCATCTTTGCATGTTTTGTTTTCCTTCTGCTTTTCTTCCCAATTAAAAAAAAAACATCTCTACTTTGTGCTCCTCCCTCTTCTTCCATGTTTCTCTGTTCAATGTGACTCATATTTTCATTTTTCTCTTCCCTTTTTTGTCTTTTCTTCTTCTTGGGCAACTTTTGTCTTAAAGTTGGAGGTCGATGCATCTTTCTTTGTAAATTTAACTCTTCTAAAGYGTCTCAGGAGTTAATTCTTTTGGTTTTGCTTTTTTTAAACTCTCATTTAAGCTACACAATAGTTTGGTTGTCCACATGTGATAAGTCAATGAGGAAGAGCAGCAGTCCCTCTGAGCTCCTCACCTGTATCTCTAAAGTTGAGCCCTTGTGGAGAAAAGTCATTTAGTCTATCTGTATTCATGACCTTGTAGTTTAGGYCACTACTCAAAGCTCATGACCATAAATCAAGGTTAGAATGTATTTTGACGGGTAAATCAAGAACTTCTTTTTGYGGTTTAGTGCCCCCTTTACGACATCTGATCGGTTGATCGCCTGCACCCAATCGGCCCGTCAATCTCCCGCTCACTCGTGAACAAGACCCCGAGATACTCCCCCACTTCAGACAAAAAACCTCTCTCCTGACTCCGAGTGGGCAGTCCAGCCTTTGCAGGCTGCTTCACACTTGGTTTGCGAATCTCCCCAGCAAGAGCTGGAGGTCATAGTTCGATGAAGCTAAGAGGACCGCATCAGGAAAAAAAAAGCAGAGTGGAGATCCTCCCATCACCGGACTTGACACTTTCCACCCCACAGCTGAACCTCGAAATTCTGCTCATAAAAGTTATGAACAGAAAGAGACAAAAGGCAGCGCTGGTGGAGTCTTACCTTCCCTGGGAACAGGTCCAACTTACTGTCAGCTCTGTGAACCAARCTGTGGTCCTTATAGGGGTCATCCACCTCATACTCCCAGAGCACGGTCATAAGCCTTCTCCAAAGCCACTAAACACTCATGGACCAATTAGCCAAACCCCCATGCTCCTTTGTTTGGTTACATGTTTCATAAAACAGTTCAAACCTGGTGAGACTCATCTGTTCTGCAGGATCTGGTTGTGGTTCGGTTGTGCTCCTGTAGCATCCTCTAAATCTGTACTTCTATTGGTAATAGTGCAGAAAGATTTTCGTAAAACTCCAGATTATTTTTTTTCAATGTAGAAGGAATTTATTTTTTTAGATTGGGTGAGTAGGTTTACCAAAGCAACATTGCGAAAATTGTAATTTACCTCTGTTTTGTTACATCTTTGTCCTATAGTTGCACATCTCATTCCACTGTACTTTCTTACATTTATACAATGTAATTGTGATGTGGGATCCATCTTAAAATTCTGTTTTTCATTTAAAATGCCTCAAGCAATCAATTTATTTCTTAAGGCCTTATATTCCTGTTGGATTCCTTAGATCCTGTAAGCAGGATCTAACAGTTGTACCGTGCCCTAAAATGAGAGAAAAAGGAGAAATATGCATTTGCTGATTTGAGTCCAAGGCTGCAGAAGTGCCTCCTTCAGATCAGTAAACTCTAATGGAATGAAAAGTGAAAAAGGAATACATTTACTAGTTTGCATTTTATTGCTTTTAATGCCCACCACCAAAAAGTGAAGGCATTAAAACAATGTTTTTACATGTGTTTGTGTTTGTCTGATACCAAAATATTTTATGAACCACAGGATGAATTTTGATGACAGCTGCAAAAACCAATCAACGAATAATTATCTATAACTGATTACATTATAGCAGCCATATCCAAGTGACTTTCAAAAACATTTTAATAGTGGGGCAGAGCCTGTGGCACCTGATTGCCACTCCCAAATGATCGACAAGTGGRTGGAAATCTTGGATTTTGTATTTGCCTTTGCATTTTTTCAGTGATACTACCCATACTATATAAAATTTCAGCTGTGCATCTTTAGAAATGGCTGAATTATAGCCCTTTGGCTAATTTGGAATTAGCATCGGCAATCGGCATGTGATCATTCTTAGGTACTCCACAACAAATTTAAACTCAATAAGTCTTAAAATGGCTAAATTATATCCTTTTAGAGTTAGCTGTGGTGGCCATCTTGATTTTTTGATTGGCATTTACAATTTGATAGATTGTTTACAGCTACTTCTATACTAATCTTCAGCTTTTTATGTATAAAATGGCTGAATAATATGTTGTGACTAGCATTCAGCGTGTTTTTGGCTCATTCTTAGCTACTAACAAAAATTTCAGCTTAATATTACTTAAAATAACCAAATTAAAACTATTTGCAATTAACTGTGGCAGCAATCTTAAAWTTTAAAATCTATAATAATTTTCTTTATTTGAATGTGTCCCTATACTTAAAAAAATACCTTGGCCACCCCTGTGCCCAGCCCCCCAGCCAAAAAGCCTTGCTCTGCCCCTGCTTAGATACTCTCCAACCACTTTTTTGTCTTTAAATTTATAAAATATGATTGAAAAATACTTACCAAAGAGGAAAAAGACAGTAAAACAATGGTAAAATTCAGAAAGACAGRAAGTGTTGGGTATATCTTATGCAACAGCACTTAAATCCCCTTAAACAATTCATAAAGCACATTTCTAATTATTGATATATCCTTCCTTTTCCTCCTCAGCGCTGAGAGATAACCGCATCCAGCTGAATCGCTCGACGCCCACGGAGCTCTCCATCACCATTTCTGAGGTGCAGCTGTCTGACGAGGGCGAGTACACCTGCTCCATCTTCACCATGCCCGTCCGCACCGCCCGAGCGACTGTCACCGTGCTCGGTGGGTCGCACACAAACACCATCAGACAGAGTTTCCAACGTGGCGCGTATCGAAGAAGAATCTGTCATCTTGATGCTGAAGTTGAAACTTGTTGCAGCTTAGAATAAACCCTTGGCTCTGTGGCAGGCATGTTTTAATGTTAACTCAAGCAGAAATAATGAAAGGTGTGTGTGTCTTTGTGCGTTTAAGAAAAAAGGTTTAGGGATTAAGTTGGATTTTGAGCACCAAAAAATGCTTTTTAGAATTGTTTGCTCCTTTTTTTACTTGTAGTTTGGCAAAAATAATTCTATGTTGTGTGTTTTTTAACTGTCCATCTCTTGTCATTCATCTCAAGGATGCTTAGAAAAGTTAGTTCAATTAGACAATCCTGAAAATACCTCTTTGTTCTCACTGCAGGATAACGGTGCAGCATGGTGTTCTTCTTAGTCGGCCTCCTTTGAGACTGATTGATGTCTGCACAAATCAGCTTGACTGCAGTCTATTTTAATTTCTGACAATTTGAAATGAATGAAATTAGGCTTCTGGCACCTTTTCTATTTTCGCGACAGTCGTCATGTTATTTATACAGATTTTACAAAAGTTAATTACTTTTCATAGCAGCCACTCTCAGGCTGGGTGGTGGAAATAAAGGCTGATGAAGTTACAGCAGTTTAATGTGACCTGCCCAACTGTGAAAAAAACCCCCACCTCAAAATCACCTTGATACCCCACTGTGAAATGTGTCCCGCAGAGTCTACCTTGTTTTAGAGCCAAATTAGGTTTGACCCCGCTGATATCCTTTGTTTAGGTGACTTGCAAAGGGAAAGTTGCACGTCGGCATTAAGCAAATTATTGGTATTTCAGCAGTTTAGTGCATCCATAAAGTTACAGGCCCGTGTGAAAGATTTATTTACGAAGAATACCTGCAACCATTGCACTTAGAGCAGAGATAGTTGGACATTTAGTCCATTGGATGGGAAAGCTGCATAAGTGCTGAAACCTCTATTGCTCATAATGCAACTTGATTGTATCTTTTCATTACTCTGCTCCAAGGAAATCTAATTTGGTCTTCAAAGAACTGCATTGTCAATGAAGAACTGAGAACAAACAACAAAACAAGCCAAAATCTCCCTTTGGAAACAAATGGTTTTAAACACCACAGCATCATGTTAGAGCTGCAGAGTTCACCAGTTTGATGCTTGTTTATCTTGTCAACTTCTGTGCAAAGCCACTGAGCCCCACAAGGGACACTGGAGGCCAATAAATATGTTTTTTTTTTTTGTTTTGTTTTTTATGAGATCCCAAGCCACTCAGCCCTAAAGAATGTGTCCACCCTTCTGTTTTCAGTAAAGAAAGATCAAATATCTTCAAAATTCATAAGAGTAATCTGTCATGATGAGAGGTATTAATAAACTAAAACAGTATTTTTCAAAGCACACTCTAGTGGWCTCATGACAATATTACACTCATTTGAGTCMAAACAAGATGTCAGGAATCCCAGTAAAAAACTTCTACAGCAACTCTGGTAAGAAAAATGGCCGAGGTAAAAACTCAAGTTACATTTCACGCTTGAAACAACTGTAGAGCCATAAGGCATGCAAACATTATTTCACAACTGAAGCAAAGTACAATGCCGATAAAGACGAAGTCCTCATTTGAGGACATTGGGACTATAATTTTGTTATTAATTGTGCCATGAGGTAGGATAAACCAGCAAATGTTTATTATTATTATTATTATTATTATTATTATTATTATTATTATTATTATTATTATTATTATTAAGACTTAATATAAATATTTAGTGTAAGTGGTATATTTGGTCACACATTTTTGTTAAACAAATCTGTAAATATTTAGAACAGTTCACAAGCACAAATAGTTCTTGCAAGTGGTTCATTTGTTCAACCAATTAATTATACCAAGGATGTCCTGGTCAAATGGTCTGCGATTTCCTGCCATTGTGTCACGTTATGTTCTTTAAACTGAAGAGAAATCTGAAAGTTGTCATTGATGATGATGATGAGCTTCACTAATCTTGATCTGGTCAACAGCTGGCTGCTGTATTTCAAAAATAAATGGAGCCACCAGAAAGGCTATCATGAAGTTTCCCAAGTTTTGAATTGCTTAGGTATTCCTCAACAAGTGTGGCATGTTGAGACCCAGTGTCCTCATATGAGGACGTTTTATTTTTCAAGAACCATTTCCTTTACCACAACAGTCTAGTTATTGGTTATTGTATCCTACTAACCCTGTGTATCTTGGAGAAAGAAAAAAAACGCACATCCTTAAAAAGAGGAGGTGAAAGGTGGTTTGATTTATTTTGTTCTTATCCTCAGCAGTTTTGGGGGGCATTTATTGTAGGTAATTAATGTTAAATAAAATTCTTATCCTAAATAAATATAATAATTTGTGAATAGTGTTTAAAAGTGAGAAAAAACATTATAAAAGTTGATGTTTCTTTACATATTTTGTAGCGTTGTTCGTGGGTTTGCTAATGCTACAAAAACTACAAACACGTGCCGTCGTTTTCCAGCTGACTTCCTTGGTTTGTTGAAATAAAATCACGATAAAAGCAAAAGTTTTTTACTGTTGCGGTGAACTACAAGCTCAACAATAAAACAACAACACTCACAATTTATTAAAAGCTGTAACTAATTTGAGGTCTAGTTGGTGAAAACTGATGCGTCGTCATCTAAAATCTACTTTCCCTGCTCTGTGTGTGCTCCCGACACAGGCCTCACAAATTCTGTTGGGAATAATTACGTTGGCACAACACCAGAAGTKCCTGTACTTTACTTCAAAACTTTTGCAGGATCTCACAAAAATACCTYTTTTTTGCCTCCAGTGTTCCTCGCAGGGCTCAGTAATAACCTCACACAACTCTTCGCTGGAGATAAAGCAGCTCCACTCATCCTCACTGAGATGGATGTTATTACTTAGCTGCGATGCATCCCTGTAGCATGGAATAAATTGTGGTTGCCATGACAGCGTGTCTCCTCATTGATTGGACGTTGGGCTAATTGGCTTTGAACTCCCCCTACATTTGGTCTTTAAAGTATTGATTTGGCGAGTTGCTCGGTGTTGGCTTTCTGGGCTGCTTTTTATTCTTTTCCTTCAGCTGAAAATTGTTGTAATGCAACGATAATGGCCATACATTACCAACCACAATGGAGACGGAGTGAGCTTGTAAAGACAGCTGGTCAGAAATTCCCGAGAAGCTGTGAGGTGCAGATTTGCAGCCAACTCAACCCAATTTACAGCCAACATTTCAGGGCATCCTGTAGTTTTATAATGGTGTGTTATAAACATATCTTCTTCTAATCACATAAATAAAAACACGTGTCCATCACCTACTGAACTGGCTAAAAAATGTGCTTTTGTTGTAAGTTACTTTGTAACGCTCGTCGATGTTTGTCATTCCTTTCAGTTTTTCAATTTGGCCACATCGTAATTAGCCAAGAAATTCTTGGATGACAATCCAAGCTGTTCAGGGTTTCTGCCTCATCTCTCTTGGAAAAGGCACTTAGTGGAAACAAGAGATGCAAGAATTTAGATATTTCGGGTGGGGCAGGGCGGCGTATGTTAGCTCTGTCTCTGCAAAGCCAAAAGGGCTGTTCCTCTGATTTACCATTTAGTCATGACACCACAGCGGAAGCATCTTTCAATGCATCTTCTTTTTTTTTTTTTTTTTTATTCAGACGTCTTGGCTGGGCTACAAATATAATGAAAGCAATTAAATGAAGCTGCCCTGGATGGCAGCATGAGCAGTRGCCAAATGAAATGTCAAAATGTTGTTTGTGTTTGCAAGAAGGATGGGAATTTCTCACAGAAGCAAGGGCAAAGGCAGGTCATCGTCTGTTGTTTAAAATTAACAGCACTTCTCTGTGTTTCACAGAAATTTGCAACAACTGGGATTGCAGCATTTGTTTTTCTGTTCACTGTTATTGACGGTTGTGACACTGTGTTGTGCGTTCGATAAATATTTCATGACCCCCGAGAGAGAGTCGACCCATTAAAAATGTATGGTAAAATGTCTCAAACACATGGATCTCTACGGGAAAATCAGGCATAGATTTAGGGTTTTTTTCAGCAGAGCGGCGTTTGCGTGTTATTTCACTCATGTTTTGACGTGGATGTTTTGGCACACGCAATTACACACAGACACACAAGTGCTGAGTGTGGTCACTTTTAAATGGCCGAGTGTGAATCTGTGTCGTGCCTCTGCTCCGTCCCGAGCTAAGCACAGAATAATTTATAGCGGCTTTTTTCCCCCACTTCTTTCGCTCTCCTTGTAAAGAAAAGGGTCTCGACATGGTTTCTCCAGCCAATTCTATACGTGCACTATTATTCCTTCATTAATATTCAACGCTACTTTTCTGCCAGGGAGCTTCCGCACACGGTGCAGTACATCAAATGCTGCTACATTAAAAATTGACCACGTTTTTTATTTTCTTTATGTACACCTTGATCAGTTCTCAGCACTTTTTAGTGGTTCTTGGATTCGTCAATATGCTGTAATGAATATAAAACACTTACATGAAAATAAATGCGTCCTCTAAAAAAGGCTTGAAAACTGACATAATCAGGTTTTATTTGAAAATGGTACAAATGTGACAAATGTTAAATTTGAAAAACTATCAAACAAATAATGTCCAAGTCCTTCCATGAAATGATATTATGATTTCAGTGTTTATTTTTTTGTGAGTTTCAGTGAGTTTTGGACCTCGAGTAGTGTATAAACTTGTTTCTCTTCAGGTACCATGTAGCTGGCTAACAACACTTGAGACTCAGAGTCTTGCAAAGTTCTTCTGAGTTTCTTGGCTTGAGTTGCAGAGGTTTACAGTCTTGATGCTGGATTTTTTAAACATGTTAAGAACTTTTTTTTTCAGTATCCAACCCATCTCGAGAGCACAAGATCTGTGTATTCCTACCTACATGGGAGCTCTCCTGTGACAGAAAACTTGTTCTGCTATAAAAACTTTGCGGATAAAAAAGAAGTAATGAAAATCTGGACCAAATCTGTCATTTCTAACATCTACATAGATACAGCGGGTAAAATAAGTATTGAACACGTCACCATTTTTCTCAGTAAATATATTACTAGAGGTGCTAATGACATGAAATTTTCACCAGA